CGAAGCGGAATTAAAAGGGTTACAAAACGCATTACGCGAATGCGAATCCAGGGTTGAGTCCTGAAATTTCGCGAATACCTATACGCGTATAGTCGCTGTAATTAAAATTTGTTCGTCGACGTATTTAGCCGAGTATCGAGAAAAATCAATAACGTGAGGATAATAAAAAAAAATCATATAATACACACACGATTTTTTTCGGCTTGTGTGAAAATTGTATAACGGAAAGAATTTTATTTAATTATTTAATATACATGATATTTTTTATACGATGCCTGGAATCCTTTTTCGCGATATTCTTCCGAGGTTTGCGGGGCCTTATCGTCGACCCAGCCGAAATGACGTTCGTTCGAACGCTCGTCGTAAAAATTGTTGATCCTTGGCAAGTAAATAGGATTGAAAAGAACACATCGATGTCACATCGACGTTTTGCATCAGGACAATGCATTCTACGCGAGAGTTTTCTACTATCCCAAAAACACTTCGGCGCTCTCCTTCGCCGCCAAACAGTAACTTCTTTCCTCCTCGGTAGACCGAGGAATCACCCGGAAAGGACATTATTTTAAGGACGATCGATAACATCCAGAACGCCGTAACCCGAATCCTTCGAAGAAGAAAACTCGCGGTGCGAGTTCACTCCTGCGAAAGAAGAAGCAGTGGAGAATTTCGCGAGGAATTTATTTTCGGGGAGACAATCGAAATCGCTTCGAGGTCAGAAATTCACGTACATCAGGAACTGTCAAAGAACAGCCGAGAAAGTTCAAACAAATAATTATTTTATTCATTTTCTCTTCTTCTTTTTGTTACTATATAGACGCTAAGAAATATTGGAAATCACAAACGCATAAATAGATAAAATTTGAAATTTAGCAAATATTTTTTTTCGGTTAATCGGTTTATTATCTCTGCGGACAAAACTCGATTTCAGAAATTTCGTAGGAAGCGTACCCACTTTCCGCCAATTTTTCGACACTCTGTGTAACAACAGCTTTGGTGCATGATCAAATTAAATTCGACATTTATTTAACTTTTAACTCGATGCGGTTTAGTCGCACGCGAGCGCGAGTACGAACGCGGGCTTTCAATTAGCGTGCAAGCTCACGCGCGACCCGATGTTGCATTTGCGCTTCCGGATTCATGGTTTCCGGTGCTCGGTTTCCGACCGTTGATCCCAGCAGTTTCCTCGTTAAAAATTGGCGAATCAGAGCACACGTTTTAGTATGTAAACTGAGCGATTTATTTATTGCCGTTCTGTGAGTTTCTAAGCCACATAACGAGGCTTTTGTCTTCGTTAAAATGTATAATATAACAGATTTTTTTTATTTTCAATGTTATATATATAATGAATATTAAACTGATACTACACATATATATATATAAATATATGAATTATAGTTATTATGATTTTCTTAATTGATTATATTACTATGGCTTATTATTTTAGAGAATAAATCTAGATGATCTAAAACAAGAAAAGAGAATATTATATTTAACTTAAAATTAGGATGTACATATATTAGTAAATGAAGTCATAAAATAAACTTTTTTTATCGGGCATAATTTTTTACGGTTGTAATTTTTTTGAGAATGTGGGGTTGATTTTTACGTAGGGAATTATTTTTTATTCAAAAGTTTGATGGATTACTTTTATTCTCCGTAATATTTTGACTATGAATCTTTAATATTTTACTATATGCGAAATGTACTGAAGTGTCTGCTATAAAAAAAAGTCGCCGATTTTCGGTTTTTTTCGTCGGCGCTGTCGACGTAATGCCGCTTTAACGGGTTGACACTTTTCAGAAGCAGCGTAATAAAGGAATTTTTGTCACGGGAATAAAAAGCGGAAAAGAATGGCCACTGTCGAGCTAAGTAAGCTTGACCGCTGCTTTCTGTTCCCGACGTGCAGTTACGAAGTTTCCGCTAGAATTCGTGCCACCTCGATCGACTTTCGATAGCGATAGTGGGGAACAAAGGAGAATCTCGATAAACTACAACGATTGGGCTCACCTAACTGAAGTCTCATCTATGTGATAATGAACGATACGAATAAAATTGGGCGAATCTCCCTTGAATTGAGAATTAAATTGCGTTAAAAACGCGAATCCTTACCGACATTTCGTAATTTGAATTGCTTTTTGTTTTTTTGCTTTCAATCGAATAGTCATGAAATCGAGTAATTGACATTTAAAGAACGCGAATAAAACACAAAATAACCTACGGATATTTAACAACATGATATAAAAGCTCTCGGCTAAATTTGGAATAAACGTTGTAAATACAACGAGAACGCAGTACAGTTAAAACGCACGAGCAATGAAATTGCGCATCCCTTATTGTTGTTTACTATTATTATTATTACAATTATTATTATATGCTTCACACGTTGATGAATATTAATTATGCTGTCTTGTAATAAATTGTGAATCCTTCAGCACCAACCTAATTTTAAAAGATCATATTAATTATTACGTGCCACTGAATATCACGATAAGTCTGATCGATTTCCAGTTGAATTTTTCTTTCCTTTCATTCTTTTTTTATCCTTCCCTTTTTACGTTATTCCTAGAATGTTCGAGCGTTTAATTGATATTGTAGTTGCTGCAGTTTCGAATGAATTGGGAGATTCTCTTTTTTTTCTGTAGCCAGTCTATAATGCATATCTTTTGTCCGTAACCCTGTATCGTGGCCGCTATTGTTCCACAGCTTTCGCGATTAAAGTTTAAATTGCGAGCGAGTGAGCGAGCGAGCGTTCAGCGTGGTGGATGAGCTTGTTGGAGAAACGGGCCGTTCACGATTATACACGCGAAAGGTGGAAGCCAAATATTTGATGGACATCGTAACTTTCGGTTGAATTCATAGTCATGCTGTGAAACAAAAATCGCTATTTTTCCCCGCTGTTGCATGTTAAATTGCAAGTTACTGGTAGGCGAAATCGAAACTGTACATTGTACAGCGAAATAATAATTTTAACTAACGCTTTTTTAAAAATTGAAATAGAATTTTACAGAAACTTTGTCACCATAATTTTTAACGGAATTTTATATTATTATTGTTGAGTTATATTATTGTAATTAAGTATAATTAATTATTTGTTTTTTGATTACTTTTGTCATGCTCATTAATTATTTTTTAATCAAGAAATTCATTTATTTTTCAATTATTAAGGATATGAATATACGCATATGCGTATTGATTTTGTTTTATCATAAATTTATATAGAGCCTTTTTTCTAACAAAATAAATATCTGACAAATACATTTCTCCAAATATCGCACAAATATTTTTTTATTATCGATAACTTTTACAACAAATAATGCATCTTGAAATTTAACATTAACATGATAGTTCTGATTTCGTTGCTACATGTTGCGTAATTTTACGATAGGATTCGAATTGAACGATCCGGGTCAAATCAATAACTTTCCTAGAAACTCAAATGAGGCCCGCCCTTTGTCCTACGATTGATTTGTTCTCATTAGCCTGCTAGTCATGTAACGATGTCGGTTATAATGGGGTATCGACTAAAATAGTCACATTATTCTAAATCGAATTTTCGTTAAACTTACAGATTAAAGACGAATAGCATATACGATTACAAATTCATCGTGATTATAAAAATAAAACGAACTCAAAAAAAAAACTTGACTCACAATTCTCTCGGCACTTTTCTGACTAAGAAATAAATTGCAGGTTTCTTTGTACGAAAAATATACGCGCATATTTTAATTCATTTTCGTTTAAATATCGTTGGCCAAATTATACTGGATAGTCCGTATATAATAACAAAGGTTATTCCTTTCGTGAAAGTATTAAAAAGACAATCGCATTCTTTATTTTTATTTTATATTTTTTATTAAAATAAGAGTATTGATAAAGTCTGAACATACTTCGCTGCTTAGAATCCTTCTAATTTTTCAAAAAGTCGTAGGCTTACCGCGATCAGTGATCCTTGATGGAGTTGCCAATCTGTATACAAAAAACATTTTGTCTTCTCGTTGTCGATGCTGCCTAAAGTTTCTTTTTAAGCTTAGAATTCATTATACATTGATTCTCTGGAGTCCAGGTTCTTCACATTGAGCCATTAACATAATACAGTAGTATAATAGCACGACTGAGCGCGTATTTTAAGGATATATCATTGAGATACCACGAGCGAACGAAGAGCGACCAATATTTTGTGAATGCTAGCAGCTAGACGTCGTAAACATCGACTCCATTGCTGATTTCTCTCTCTCTCTCTCTCTCTCTCTCTCTCTCTCTCTCTCTCTCTCTCTCTCGCGCTCCACGGTGCTGCACGGATATCAATTTTACGACAATTCGACGTGCTAGACAAATACGGAGCTTAAGGTACCGAGCGCGAAAACAATATCGACGGCACATGTCCAGAAGAACCGGGTAAGATTCATGGGAGTCGGGAAAGTGGCCCGGGAGAAAGAAAACGTGGATAGAAAAGCCACGGTAAAACGACTTGCGCGCGTGTATATTTCACGCCGAGATGTGAGATGTCGAAACGATCAGTGAATTTCGAAAAATTCACCAAGATTTCTTGACTATTTCACTTATCATATCACGATTTAGTCCAGAATCTTCAATTTGAAAGGGTGCTAATGATTAATTCTTCGCGATCTTTTTGCAAACCAAATTGACGATAATTACTGATCTGTAATACGTATTTTTTGAATAATTATTTTCCATTTTAGACTAAATCTTAAGAGATATGTAGAAATGAATGACGTAAGAAATGAGTAATTTTACATTTAATAAAAACCACTTTATAAGTATCACTTAAAGTTTCTATATGAAAAACTCATAGACAATTAGAGATAAACTTATTATCCGACTGGGAATTAAAGTATAACAAAATAAGTACACTTTTTCTTTAAGATTATCGAGAATTAATGAAAATAATATTTTTAATGCCCTTTTGATATCTGAGAAACGTCCATTTTCTGAGAAAAGGAATCAAAAGAAGAAATTAAGAGGAACTGTATTTATTGCAGATACAATGAGGTAGTAAACTGTTTACGGAGCACCTGGTGAGAGGTGGGTTTTTAGCACGACGGGCGATATGTTTCTGTCGAGCCGCAGCGGCCGAAAGGGGCCCATCGCCTGTCTGGTGGGCCTCCTCCTCATCTTCGCTCTTTATCAGCTGGGTATTATTTGCGGCTCCACCAACTACATGCCTACGGCCATGATGGTCAGCAAAGAGGTAAGAATTAGGCATTTTAACCAATCTGGTATAACCTTCATTTGATAAAAATTATATCACTTTTTCGATTACTCAACACAAGATAAAAAAAAAGGATAAATTTCTTCTCGATTAAATGAAACAAATGAATTCAGGAAAACATTAAATATATAATTGAAAAAGCATCTCTCCGTATAAGTACTTCTATTAGAAATCCTCTCTATTTAAGCGAGAAATTTTAATTGATCACTTTACAATAGCTTTATTTTATTTTCGCTCCCTTGGTCCTCTTCGTCCCGATGTGATAATAACAATAATAATTAATCGGAATAATAATAACGATAATATAATACGAACGTGGTGTATTATCGCGGCTTGGATGGCAACGTCCCTACATTATTAATCGGCAATTAATGGCTGTCAAAGTATTAATTGTGTCCAGTTGTTAAAAGCTCCGTTTTGCGCAAATATTGAATCTGAATGAGTTCACCGATCGAACGACACGTGGCCTGGCAATGAGATTCGTAGAAGAAACTCATTTAAATTCGAATGTACTTTGTGGTTAAATTAAATGTTATCTTTTCTCTCTTCGAAGTGGAATCTCCTCTGCTGCGCGCTTTATACATTTATTCTGACGATGTTTCTTCGCCGTTAGAAGTACAATCTTTCAATTGAAATAACAATTGAGATATTGGTCGGAAACTTTTCTCAACTCAATAAATTTACTCAGTTCGTCTTTCTCATAATTTTTGTCGTAAGTTTTTTCTTAAAAATTTCGTAACCAGAAACTTTGTTGTTGATTTTCAACTACCTTAAAATATCACTCAACTTTTTCAATTCGACGCAGAACTATTTTATTAACTTCTCGAATTGGAACATACATATTCGTTTTTCAAAAAAAAAAATTAATGTTAAATGAAAGAGTTAAATGATAAATTACTGAACAAATGACTCACATTACATGTATATATGTACGAAGAAATGAAAAATGATCTCATCGCGTTACGTATCTTGTCGTGCTTCCGTTACTGCCAGATAGGAGGAAAAGAAATGTGTCTACGAACTTAAACTGTCAGGCCACGTATTAGCGGGCGGGAAACTGCAACTCCTGAAGCTTCATCTTGGCCTTAATCAACGCCAAACTGCCGCTACTGAGTAGAGAAAGGGATGTCCGACGTTCCTGAAGAATAGTTCGACGAACTTGTTCCTACCGACGAAGTCGATACACCAACGACGAGTCTAACTTCCGAGCCAATTCCGCGTCTTTCCCGATCTACTTCCGCCGTCGCGACTTGCAGGCGCTTTTATTAATTTTCTTGTAGACTTACTTTAATTGCGTTAAGGTAGTTACGGTAAAATACCGGAACGAACGACGGGTAAGAGTTTATATCCCACTTACTTACGAGCGTAACTCGGTAAAAAAGTATTTTTTAAGTACTTGCGCTTGTATCAGTTATTCACCGAAATAGCGATATGCAGATAAAACTGAGTAGATGTATAACTTAATTTTTTTAAGTACAGGAATATGGTAAAAGTCATAATTTCTTAAATTAAAGACGCTAAAGAGTATAAGGTGATTTTTGTGAATTAATCTTATATTTTGTGAATTAATAGAACTTTTACATTCAGTTTTAAGACCAGCACTCGCACACGTAAACACAATTTAAACCAGACGTACTCGTATATACAGTTGCTAAAGCATCTAACGTTAAAAGTTCAAAGCATTAAAAAGCAGCAGACGAATTTTTAGTATAAACCACTTTTCAGTAGGTTTTTCGAACCACAAAGAACGAAACTGACTAGCTTTTAAAGTTTGCTTTAGACGATATCTAATTCGCATCGATTTACACAGGAATTTTATTTACAATTTTTTGTCGCGCATATTGATGTATATTTGTATTTTAATATATGTGTATCCTATAATATACGCGCATTTTAACTTTTCGATATCTCTCGTATTATACTGCATATAAAATTATGAATAAAATTGTATCCTGAATTCCGACACAAATTCCGTAGATCGTCTAAAGCAGACTTAAAAATTAGATTCACTAATATTTTTACAGCCTTTGATCGTTATTGTTATTTGCTGAACAGAAATACGTGATCGGGCCGTTTGATCGCAAGACCTACACGTACGACCGTTACATGCCGCTTATTTTCATCGGTGGTGTACCACGATCAGGTACGACCCTAATGCGTGCTATGCTGGACGCGCATCCTGACGTGAGGTAAGTGACGATCATCATTTAAAGTGATAATTTTGTTGGAATATTAATATTTATTTATCATGATTCCACAATAAATATTTATTTATTCCAATAAATAAATATTAATTAAATTCAATTAAAGCACAAACCGTTAAAAGTGCATGAAAAGGATAATTGTATATATTATCGTGCAGCTATCACATAAACTTGTATTGGTCCCGATTTTCTATAACTGATATATCTGTTTCTAGAACAGCTTTCAGAATATATTTATAAATATCATGTATATGTATATATTTATAAATATTCATCTCCCAACGCAAAAGAGAGCAAATAAATTTGTTTATATATGATATAAAAGCATCGTTTGTGTTGAAAAATAAAATTGATAATTGTCAAGATCGTACATATTTTTAACTTATATAATAATGATATTAAAATACACATATATATGTATATTAAGATACACGACGTATGAAATTAAAGTTTTATCTCTGATATAAATAATGGATATAGAATGACCTTGAAATGGGGATTACATTTCATCAAACATCTTTATGGATTTTGTTCAAGATGCGGACAAGAGACCAGGGTTATACCAAGGATTCTCCAGATGAAGATGCACTGGTCCAAGTCCGAGAAGGAAAACGTACGGCTCACTGAAGCGGGGATCTCGAAAGAGGTAAGCCTGCGTTCTGAAAAGCGCGGAAAAGGGTATGTTTCAGCAGTGAGACAGATCTGAATAATTTAAGTATCGTCCAACGAAAAAATTTGCAGCAGGAAAAAGTTTTCAGCGTTTGTCCTATTTTATCGAGAGTGGTATATTTCTCTTGCGCTCTTAAAAAAGGCCAAGGAGGCAAGGAGTGTTCTGTAAAACTTCTCGCTGCAACGCAGCATATTTATTCGGACGCTTACCTCTATACCTATTTAAGTGTGCATCCCTCTCTCCTAAAATTAAATAAGGGTTTAAAAATGTTCTTAGTTTGAATAATTATATCATCGCAACGTGAAATTATAAAGTTTGCTCTTCATGTAAATCGTAAGCTGGTCATGTTAGTTTAAGAGGCTGATGTAAGAGGCTCGCAATAACTTCTCTAAACTCTCATCTCTCATGAATAATTAAAATTAAAATTTACACATACGAAACTTGAGAGGTGCGTTTTACAACGGAACGGAGAAGTCGAGGGAAGAAGTTTGCGGCTTGAAATATCGAGAATGTGCTATTTTTCTTTAGGTGATAGACAGCGCGATAGCGGCGTTCTGCTTAGAAATAATAGCACGACACGCCGAGCCCGCGCCAAGGTTGTGCAACAAGGATCCACTCACCCTGAAGATGGGCTCGTACATCCTCGAGCTCTTCCCGAACGCAAAATTTATATTCATGGTGCGCGACGGACGCGCGACGGTGCATTCCATCATATCCAGGAAGGTAAAAAAAAAGCTTTACGTAACGTTACGTTATTTTCTTTTTTTTTTTCCAAACATGTTTGGTTGTTCGACAGTTATGTCATTCCTCTGTCGAAATAAGCTTCAAACAGAAGTACTAATTCAGATTTTGAACTTCGAAACTTTTTTCTATTAATTGCTTTTTGCGTTTCTTTTCTAATTTTAATATTGCAGATCATTACAATAGCATACTGCATTACATTATTCTTTCATGGTTTTTAAATATACATTTTTTTAAGATTTTTTCGAAGAGTGTGTGTATGTTTGTGTGTGCAAAATAGTACAATACGATTCTCTCAATGATGACGTCTTCTCTCTGCACAGGTCACCATAACGGGATTCGATTTAACGTCGTACCGGCAGTCTCTCATCAGGTGGAATCACGCAATTTCTGTAATGTACGGTCAATGCAAGGAACTAGGACCTGAAAGATGTCTGATGGTCCCTTACGAGCAGCTGGTGCTACACCCACGCCAATGGATGAAGAAGATATTAAACTATCTGGACGTGCCGTGGAACGAGTCTGTTATGCATCACGAGGAATTCATTAACAAACCCGGCGGAGTGCCTCTGAGCAAGTAAGCGAGAAGAATGGAGGAAGTAGCAACGCATTTAGATATCTAACAGTATTCCGGGATTCGAGCGAAATACATGTACACACGTTATAAAATAATGCATTATAATAATGTCGTTAATCCTGAAACGTAATATAATGCATCTCGTATTAATAACGCGAAAATGATGTGACAGCGTAACAAAATAATCTTTCGCGTTATTAATATCCGAGCAATAATACGATAAATTAATTTTTCACATTATCAGCATTAAAGTAATATTTATACAATGTAGTAAAATTACGTTCTGCTAAATTAATATAACGAAATTAATAAATGTGTATATATAGAATGATATTATATTGACGTCAAAATCATGTTTGACGACAGGGTCGAGAGGTCATCGGACCAAATCATAAAGCCTGTAAATCTGGCGGCGCTGACCAAATGGGTCGGTAACATTCCCGAGGACGTGGTGAGAGAGATGGCAGACATCGCGCCAATGCTCTCCGTACTCGGCTACGATCCTTACGCGAATCCACCCGTTTATGGCGCACCGGACAGTTTAGTTAGCGACAACACCAGACGGTACGTACCCATTTGTTACGCTACATGGCTGTTACAGTTGTTACATATAGTATTGCTCACAAACGACGTATATTCAAACGGTGTACCGTGAACTGGAATTAAACTGAAATAGGACGAAATTATTTTGACATATTTCAGAGATACAAAGCGAAAATGGATATTACAATCGAGCTTCCAAATTAATCAAGTATTTTTAAAAATAAAAGATTTCTTTCAATAAATTTAATTTTAGACTTAAGAGAATCTTTCATTGTAGATTTTTATCAGTATTCCTATCAAATAGTATTTATCGATTAATGATTGTTTACACTTAATTCAATAATCTAAAATAATTTTTTAATATCATTATATAGGTTTCTAAAGGAGTAAAAGAATTAACTATGAATTTTAACCGAAGTTATGAAAGTATTATAACTATTCGATTCATATACTATGTTCAATTTCTTGTGTTGCCTTTCAGAGTGCTGGCTGGTGAAAAACTCTGGGAGGAGAAGGCACGAGCGTATCATCTATCGCATAGGCCAATCGAGAACAGCAACGAGGAAGCTGCTTCCAGCACAGCCCCAGTCGCGTGACCCCGCGTGATACTCGTAGACACGAACGACACGTAACCGACTACTAACCTAAGTCCCATCGATTGAGGATTCCCGTGTACGGAGAGACCACCCTGTTGTACTTTCAAAGTAAACTCGGTCTCACACGACTGCGAGTCGCGTCGTGAATTAATCGCTCTTGTCGTATTTTCTCAGTCTCCGTTATCGCATCGCAACGACGATAATTTAATCGATCATTCCTCGCGACGCTTATTTATTCGCATCAGGATCGCGCTTCACGAAGTCAGATGACGTAATGTACTAAACCGCGACTAGAAAATAGAATGCACCGAAAATAAGCGGTCAAAGGTTGAGAGACGAACGTTATATTTGACGCAGTTCATTAAGTATCGATGTCAAGCGTTCCTTCTGCGATACTCTCTTATAAAAGAAGCGCAAGGTTCATTCTAAGATGAAATTTCTAAGAATTTTCTCAGCGTTCTTGCTATATTCCACTGCAGACGAAAACTGTGGGAGCAAATATCTATAACTATGAGAAAGAGAGAAACAAGACACATAATCGTATAACTCTTTTATCTTCAAAACAAATAGAATAAATTCCTGATGTTTGGTCGTTTATTTGCGGACTGTCCTGTATATTATCGCGACAACTATATAATATATATATAGTTATAGTAATATTTTTAATAGTAAAAATATTAATTTAAAAGGTTTAATGCATTAACGAAAGAGATCTGTATAATTCCGTTTTATATATTTTATATTTAAAATAGATTTCACAAATTATTGTTATAAATTCACATTGTTAGATATATTGATTTTTTTATTTCTTGTATATAATACTATTTAAAAATTTATTTTTTAAATTAAAGAGTAAGAAATATTTAAGAAGGAGCTTTTTATTAATGACTTGTCATTATACGACAAACATTCGTAGGTATTTTATAAATAACATTACAAATGTCGTAATGTTTGAGATAAACCTTAAATTGACGGTACCATCATTGTCTATTATCTATAGTCAAGAACAATAAGCGTGAAATGCGTCGCATTAACGATAAAACAACTTCGAACTTTATGTGTTATGAAGGATCGGACCCCCTAATACAGGTTATCAGAGATTTCAATAAGTTGATCTTATAGCGATACTCCAGCGTGATAATTAGAAAAATGCGAAAAATTTTCTAGTTATTACGTTTTTATGACAATTTTTCAATGTAAGAATTATTTTTGTGTACTTGTAGAAAACTGTAACATTAAGTTTTGGGTTCGGCCTTCTTTTACTGAATAACATCGATCAAAGGCCAGTGATTTTAAAGAGAAGTGTTAGAATATTTAATGAGGCATACTTCAGACGCGTAAAGAACGAGAGAGTAAAACCTCTCTTTTTTCCCCTCATGAATAAAGTCTCTGGTTGGTCGGTCTAGGAGGATATAATCCAACGCGAAATTCTAGAACAATTAAACGTTAAATGCGATTATCTGATACATGGGGCAAAATTATGCAAAAACGAGTTAACCTGTTAAAGTAATAATTTTAGATAAATTAAATTTCCGAACTCCTGAGTTTCGTGTTGCCGACGCAACAGTGTGCACTAAGTACACGCAACTTACATTTATTCTTTTTTTATTCTGGGTAAACTCATTCATGCATAACACCGTCCAATTAACGTATGCATGTTTACAAAGTTCGCGTATTGGCGTTTTTATCCTCTATACCTCCACCGTATCGTGTTACTACTTATCGTAACGAATTTACGTGAAATTAAATGAAATTTTTCATGTTCGCCATATTTTTTAGATAGCGTAATTCATCAGCGTGGCGTTTTTAAGTAGTACCTTTCGATCGGTATCTATTTAAAAAAATAATAAATTGCAAATATATTTCTGATATATAATATTAGAAATTAATATTGGATTGGTACCAAAGCTTTGACGTAAAAAAAAAGTCAAAACTTCAAAAAACTAAAACAGTTTTATGTACAGTTTTATTTCTGTCAATCGAGAAACAGAAAGAGAGTTTACAAAATTAAAATTATTTTTCCTTAAATTTTTTTTATAACCATTTTAATATTTTCCAATCTTTAATTATAAAACAGAATTTAATGCAAGGATGACAAAGCTTTTAAATCAATCTGATATTTATACATATAAGTGTAAATAATATCCATGAACTCAACCATGGTTTGGTGTGGTACATTTTGTTCATGGATCCTCTGAATTATATTATAATTTTTAAAAAGGAACAACACCGCTATGATAATGGCAGTAGACATGCATAGACTTGTCGAAATCTATCTGTCAAAGTGTGCAATTAAATTATTTTAATATTACATTGTTCTGTTATATCCAATCCATATTCCTCATTTTATCTCTAATCGGAAAAGTAGCTTATAATTTATTTCAGTATCACATTATTTCATCATAAAATTCAATGTCCATTAAATTTAATTTTGAAGTTAAGATACACTAATCTTATGAAAATGAAATATTTTATTGTATGAGAATATTAATGATATACAAATTCTTTTAACGATGATAACATTGCTATATCATTATGTATATTATGTACATTAATGACTTAACAAATTGTACGTATATTGATACAATTTTCATTTATTTGTTTGCGTAATTCTAAATAGTGTCACACACACACACACACACACACATAATCTTAAAAATTTTAAATATTATTTAAATACTGAATGACAAGTTGACTTTATATATTCGGGGAGTTATGTTTAAAATGAAAATCAATATTTAGTGTTATATACATTAAGTAAACGTCTAAAATGTCTAAAATCTCGAGACTAATATATAAAAATATATTTCTATTATTGTATTTACTGATTTTTTTACCATAAATCTTTGATTTTTTAGTAGAAATTTGATAACAATATTCACGTTACAAAGATTCTACGACGGCTTTCGATATTTCGCTTGTACCCATACTCTATACATTTTCAACTGTTTACCTCTATTAACTTGCAGCCTTCTGTCCATGAAGTTTTGTTCTTCGACGAAACCATTACCAGTAAATAATTTCTTAATATCCTCTGAAAAAATATTTTAACAAAATGTTCAGTAAAACGTTATCAAATTTCAGCATCAAACTTCAATCATTAATAATTTAACAGACTATAATAATTCTAATTTAGAAAAATAGTAATATATAAGATTTTCATATAATAGGAGTAATATGATTAGATTACAATACCAACACTCTCTTTTACAACATTAAAACATATTAACATTTTAAAGTTTACGCACCTTGAGAAAAAAAGTACACTCTGGTGCCATCTCCTCGCACATAAAAATTCTCACCGAGGCAGTTGCCTTTCTTAAATCTCAATTGTGCTAAATCGTGTCTGCCATAATCACGAAATAAAATTATTCCACCTGGTTTAAGATATCTATATATTTGCCGCACAACATGTTGCATCCTACAGAATATATCAAGAGATATTAACAACTTTCTCTTCTATATCTTTTCTTTCGAAAACGTTTTAATTTGCTATTTTAATTTTCCACGTATACAATATTTTGATATTTATATAATTTATAAAATTTATTAGTTCGAAAATATACAATTTGCTCTAAATTTATATATTTGTACATACGTATATTATATATATAAAATACTAATAATTAGTAATATTAAATATATACTTGTCAGGATGAATGGCAGATAATACGAATATAAGAACGATGATATCTAAACTTTCAGACTTGAAAGGAGTCGTCCATGTTTCCTCAGTTACGTCCAAAACAAATGCTTTACATCTAAAACGAACAAATGTATTTACACATTATGTGGATAACTTATGCTACTATACTTTCTATTGGATAATATTAAATAAGTTTAGAAAATTTTTTTAGAAAACTTTACCTATCTACATTATATGCAGGATTTTGTTGTAATATACTAATGGCTTTTGCCGAAAAATCACAACAATATACAAACAGCTTCGGGTCTGTATTATACATGAGTATAGGAAATACAGTGTTTCCTACACCACATCCTATTTCTAAAATTCTACAATTGTCTTTACATGGTAAATCAAGAATTTTTATGTGTTTTTCACCACATTTTTTATCTTCATTTGTAAATGCAGCTCTCATAGGCCTTCCTGTGTCCTGTTTTACAACATTAGACGCTAGTTCTGGAAACTCAATCAGCAACCAATGCCTGTCTTTAAAAAACCTACAATAATAAATGTATTGACTAAAAATTCATTGCATTGATTCATTGAATAAATAATATTAGACTGATTAAATTATCTAGTATTTTAAATGGTGGAGAAAATATCTTTGCTTAGATTACATACATACCCATTATTATGTACTCCATAAAATTTGTCCCAATATTTATCTGCTTCAGTTTCATATTTAGAGAGTTGCTCAGATGAAATCATAACAGTAGAATTTTCATCTACTTTCTGTTGCGCCAACTTCTCTTGTTCTTCATCCCATGTAACGTTATCCCTTTAAGAATAGCAAATTTAATTATTAGGTATTCAATCGTTAAGGAATAGATACAGTAAATGAACAAAATTAAGGCTTTACTACTCTTTTTCCAAAATCATATTAGCAATTATATAAACAGATGATACACATAGAATTATATATTATTTATATTATTTTATTGTATTTAATAAAATAAATTTTAATTTTAACAAGTGAAATAGAAATGAAATAAAAAATAATCGATTAAATAAAAAAAATAATATTTACACGATTCTTAAATCTACTTGACTGCATTTATCATGAAATAGATACATGCTTTGTGGGAAAATAAGGAAAATAAACGTAAAACATAAGATATTGGGTATAAAATATTTATTACGCATAAAAAAATCATATAAAATAACATGCCAAATGAAAACGGCTCAGTTTTCAGGTTAGAGTACACCTGTCATGCAACAAATATACGTAGTGTAAAATCAAGCGACGAATTTTTAAATAGAAGAAAAAGTATATATTCAAATTAAAAAAAAAAAAGGTAATGCCAATAAACACCGCTGTTAACAGATACACGTATTTGTTTTTATCTGCAGTTTCTTTTAGGTTAGGCTGAACACGCGCTCGGTCGAATGTCAAGTCGAACGACGTCACATGCGGCTGCAAACGCGCGTGGAGCCACGGACGTACCATGCATTGTGCTGGAAGACGTTTCCATCGTGCGGTAAATTCCGCGTTCCGTACTGTGGCCTCCTCGTTTCTGGGTCGTCATGATTGTCCGCGATCGTCGTCACCCCGGCCATGTTCGACAACGCGTCGGCAAAACGGCACCGCGCAGCATGAGGCTTGTTCCCACACGGAGCATGACATCCATTAGACATCCATCATACAGTCTCCATTGTAACTCTGCAGCTAATAGAGATCCATGATTTCCAAGATAGATGTCAATAGATGTCCTCTAGAAATCTACGACAGACGTTCATTAGACGTCAATTAGGGACGTGGTGTATAATAGCTCAGTACATGATATCACCGATAGATGGAGAGAGTAGAATTTTATTTCTCATATTTAAAAAACAAGTTGAATA